GATCAAGAGATGGTTGCTTCAATTTGGTTGAATTTGAAAATGTGTTTTCTGCAATATTGCTTATTTGGCAATTAAGTTGTATTAGATAGTTTTCTGCATTTGTAGAGGGTCTTTTTATCTGCTTTTGTAATGTACCCTTTATGCCAAACCAGGCAATCTTCTATGTACTGCAAATGTGAAATGGAATATATGACTCTTTTTTTGTCATGTTAATTGTCAAATTATGTCTATCTTTTGAGCATTTTCAGCTATATAAATGCAAGATTTGCTTGTACAGGACAAAACAAAAAAATAGAACTTAACCAAAAAAAACAAAAGTGCAGCAGATTGGTCTTTGTAAACTTTGCTCTATTGCTTGCTTATACAGGACATGACTTAAAAAAAATAGAGCAACAAAAACAAAAACAGGGCAGCACATTATAGGAATTTACATGCTCTAATTGTCCCTATCATAAACCATTAATCACATAATATAAACCATTAAATAGATAGCATTAACACTACTTGTTTGTAAACTAGAAAGAAGAAACAAAAATGCAGAACCAAAAGAAAAAAAAATGGTCCCACTTGTCTAAAAAAATTAATAAACAATAAGTTGGATATTTGACCGTTAGTAATTAACGGGTCAAATTAACGGAAGTGTGGATGGCATCCCATAAGGGATGACATTGAACAAAAAATGTGTAGTAGAGGGATGACATTTATACTGTTAAGGAAAGTAGAGGGACGACATCGAACATTTCCTTAGTAGAGGGACGGTAACGAACAATTTCACAAAGTACGAGGACTACAATTGATAATTAAAAATTAATTTTTATTTTCTAATATAAATTTATGATAAAAATATATATTTAATACATTTTTAATCTATACTATTAAAGAATAAATTCTAATAATAATAATCATATTTTTTAAAAAAATTTTACCAAAAATCCGTGTGATCACGTGTAAAAAAAAAAAGCCCTGTCGTTGAACACAACGCTTCCGTCATCCATGCGCAGACTGTGGAAAAGACTTTCCACCTTCCCTCTTCCAATAGAAGTCGGCCAATAGAATTTCCGAAGGGTTAAAGCCAACTGTAGTCCTCGTACTTTGTGAAATTGTTCGTTACCGTCCCTCTACTAAGGAAATGTTCGATGTCGTCCCTCTACTTTCCTTAACAGTATAAATGTCATCCCTCTACTACACATTTTTTGTTCAATGTCATCCCTAATGGGATGCCATCCACACTTCTGTTAATTTGACCCGTTAATTACTAACGGTCAAATATCCAACTTATTATTTATTGATTTTTTTAGACAAGTGGGACCATTTTTTTTTTTTAACTTTTTCTTTTATTTCCTTTTCTTTCTTCCTCACGGTCATTTTCCCTGAACCACAGAACGGAGCCCCTGCCCTGCCCTTCTTCACCGTCTTCACCAGTTCACCGGTTCACCGGCTCACCAGTTCACCCATCCAGTTGTTCCTCTTCTTCACTCTTCTTCACCAACCTTCGGTCTTTCTTTCTTCGCCATCTTCACCAGAAAACCTATGCCTAAAATTGCCCAAAATCGCCCAAATTTGCTGAACCCAAA